GAGTGGTCATTTTAACAACATTAATTTTATCATATCCGTCTCTTACTTAAAACTACCTGATGGCTTCCCATTGCTTTTAAAACAAAATTTGGACTCTGCCAGAGTGGACTACAAGTTAAAAAAAAGGGCATCATGTTTGCTAGAAAGTCATCAAAAAATGACTTAAGCCCTCTATCAGATGGAGTACGTAATACCCACAAAATGGACTCAAACATATCAAATATTGTGAAGACGGCACAGGACCAGGCATTGCGTTTTGTTTTCTTCTGTTATACATAAGGTCACCATTAGTCAGAGTAGACTGCATGGCAACTAACGCCAACAATATGGTGGACAATATTGTTATGCTACTTTGTTCACAATACTTCAGTTACTACCTTCCCTTTGCTCCCCAATGATTGCGTGTAGTTTCCACCTCTGGGCCCTTGTCCTTGCTGCATCCTTTGCCTGAAATGCTCTTTTCCCAGGTCTTCACACATCTCTCGTCTCTCAGGGCTCAGCTCAAACATCACCTCCTCTGACAGGCCTTCCATGCTTTCCCCATCACAATCACTGTTTTATTACCTCCAAAGCACCCAGCCTCATGTAGATCAGACATTACTACTAGGAATGACTAAAGACCTACTTAGGCCTCTGTAGCACTCATCTTTCATGAGCAGGACGATTACCTACATAAACAAGAAGAGTAGAATCTCCCTTTCAATGAATCTAGTGCCCTAGCTTGGGGAATTTATAGAAACCTTGGGGGAGGTAATCTTACCAGGGAATTAGGGAGCAAGAAGGAGAATCAAGGAAGATACATCTATACACTGTATTCTTTTATAAAAAGTTTCAGAGTGTAGAAGATGTAACGCGGCGCTGTATGGGAGAAATGTCATAGAATCATCGGAAAATTTTGTTTCCATTTTTTGAGAAGGGGTACCTCATTTGAAACAAACAGTTATGAGACTGAAAAGACAAGGCAGAGACAGCCCTGACGTACTCAGGCGGAGTCCAAGCAAGCCTAGTCTGTCGTCGCCGACCTCGGACGAATCCGCGCCGGTGCCCACTAAACCGCCCCACTTGGTTATCTCAGGCGGCACGTGACCAAGAGTAAATGCATCCAGTTCCTCGCAGCGCTGAAATGGTTTTCAAAATATTAGAAGCAAAAGACACCTTTTCCTGAATTAAAATACAAAACACGAACTCTGAAAAAAGGCAGAAATGTACAGAGAAGAAAGTCCCGTTATCGTATTTTCTGACTCCCATCTTTATACCACCAGCACTTCCACAAAAGCAGGCCACCGCTGTTTCACTACGCGGGCGGGCGGGCCATGTGACGCCACCGGGCCGGAAGTGCGCAGGCGCCCGGGCGGCCTCGCGGGCGCTGTCGCGCGTCGGGCAGTTCGCGCGGGAGCCGGGAGCCCGGGCGCAGGGCTGCAAGTCGGTGGGAACGGAAGCGGCTGCTGGGCAGAGAGGGAGCCAGGATGGCGACTCCGAGCAGGAAGACGTCAACTCCAAACGTCCAGGCCTCCAAGAGAGTACTTCCGAGAGATCCTTCGTCGGAGATCCCGAGCAAGAGAAAGAGTTCTGCCCCGTCAACGCTGCCGCCTACGTCGCTGCTGCCGGTACCGCTGCATTCGTCAGGGCCTTTCGTGGAAGGCTCTATCGTCCGCATCGCGATGGAAAACTTCCTGTGAGTGGCCCCGAGGCCGCCCTGCGGCGGAGTTGGCGAGCGGGCCAGCAGGATGAGGGGCGCCAGCTGCGTGCGTGTGTGCACGTCGGAGTGTGTGTGTGTGTGTGTGTGTGTGTGAGACGGCTGGTGCAGAGACTGAACATGTGCTGGGTGCTGCAGGTCCAGGGTTACCGTGGGACTTTATACGTAGGCCGTGGAGATGGTGATGTATGTTGATGTAGTAGATGTGTGGGTTGTGTGATTTTTATGCATTCGCCAGTGTTTTTTGAAAGCGTCATATGACAGACAGTGGATTTACTAGGGACTAGGCGTCAGCCCACTGGGAGTTACGGACTCAAGGCAACATATTCTGTAATTCACAAAACTCTGGGCCCTGGGAACTCAGGAGGCAGCGGTTTAATCCAAGCAGCAATGATGCTATGGTAGATTCTTAAAGAGAGCATTTGCTACGTGGACAAAGAGGAGTATATAAGATGGTAGAAGTTGTCCCGGATGGAGGGAAATGTACAATAAAATTAAACCTCACTATGAATGGTTGTGCCTCCCAGCAGACCCTTGATTTCTCCAAATCCAGCGTTCCTCCCTAGTTCCTTTTCTTTCCCTTCAGTCAACTAATAAGCATTGAATAAATATGTTTTGAGAAAAATGCCGTGTATCTGTCTAGTATAGTACAGTTCATTGGCTCAGGGTCTTTTTTTATTGTTGTAATTTTTGTTCTTGTTGAAGCTTGCACATAGTCAAGTAGGGGCAAGAGAATTGTAACAATACCACCATTTTTTATGTGCCTACCATGTGCCAGATACAGAACAAGGTGCTTCTTTAACGCTGTTCCTTCATTGTTTTCTCCTAACAACTCTATGTATTATCTCTCTTGATGAGATAAGCTTAAAGAGGTTAATTTGCCCAGATTTACACAGCTAATAAGTAGCTGAATTGCTGTGTGAATATAGATCAGGAAAGATAAATGTAATCAAATAAGGTAGATGCCATGGGGGCACAAAAGAAATGGTTAATTTCTCCCGCAAGTATGAGAAAGAGCTTTGTAAAGAAAGTTATGAAAATGCAGAAATATGGGAAGCTTTCTTTCCATGGTAGACAAAGAAAAGGATGAGCACTGCAGGTTGAAAGAACAACCTGAAAGAGTTTGGTATATTTAGAAAACTTGTAGTATTTCAGTGTGGCTAAAACATAGTGAATATGTGAACAGGGGTGATACTGAAAGGTAGGTAATCATGGAGGGTTTGTATGTTTACTATGCTTGGGAATTCTAACTTCATCGGGTAGGCAAGCAGGATGAGTTTTAAGTGGGGGATGAGGTGTGATTTATGTTGCTCTGGAGACAGCGTGGGGGATGATGCAGAAAGTGTGAAGATTGGAGGTAAGAAGACTTTCACAATACGAAAGCAAGAGATGATGAGGATTCAAATACAGGAGTAGTAGTGAGGAATCAGAAAGAAAAGAGGTTCGATAGGATCTGGCAGAGATTAATTGTGAGGCATGAGAGGAAGAGAAAAATTGTGCTGCATTTTTCCCAAGTCCCTCTTACTTGGTTAATTGGTCAGAAAGTGCTACTTTTCAGCAGAGGGAACAGTTTGGGGAGAGTAAGAATAAATGGCTCGTGGATCCTGTGACTTGACGTTTCCTGTGGGATATCTCAGATGTGACAGTTAATATATAAGGGTCTGGGGCTTAGGAGAAATGTGTAAATAGGTGAGAGAGTGTAGAATCAGGCATACAGGTGATTATTGAAGTTATAGGAATGGTTGAGATTGCCCAAAAGAAAATGTGAATAGGAGCAATAGAAGGCCAAGTAGAGCTGGGGATAAATGCCAGCATTGAAGTGTGAGTAGGAGAGGAACTCAACACTGGAAAGGAGCTGTTCAGGGACATAAGAGGAGAACTGGGGGAGAATAATCTCACAGAAGCCAAGGAAAAAAAGTGTTTCAAAAATACATCTGCTACATTAAAGTCAGATAGCAGGACTAAAAAGAGTGCACTGAATATATCAATTAAGAAATGCTTCAATTTTGATGAATTAGTGAAAATAGAAAACTTTGCAGGCTGTAGAAGAATGAGGGATGAGGAAGTAAAGATTGGATATGAAGAGGAGAAAGAAGTTGGCTGAAAAGTACAGAGCCAAGTGAGGTTTTTTCTGTTCATTTTAACAATGAGAGGACTTTGTGTTTTAGAAAAGAAGTAGTAAGGGTAGGCTTCTTGTTGTTGTTATGTGCCCCCAAGTTGGACCTGACTCATAGCGACCCCTCCTTGGGTTTCCAAGGCATAGTGGCTAAGGCACTTGACTGCTAATCAGAAGGCTGGCGGTTCAAACCCACCAGCCACTCCTCGGAAGGAAGGTTGGGCAATCCTACTTCCGTAGTGATACTGCCTCGGAAACCCAAGGAGGGGTCGCTATGAGTCGGGGCCGACTCAACGGCACATAACAACAACAACAACAACAACTCAGTTGCTCACTGGCAAATTCCACCATGGAGTTAATTGCCAGTCTTATTATAGCAAATAACTACTACCAGTTGTCCAGCCAAGTTGACACCTATTTGCATGATCTCACCCAGTAATCTGGTGGGAGTTACAAAGATGTAGAAAACCCATACCGTGCAACTCACTACACTGTAGCTGTGTAAGGAGATTTTTTTTAATACTCAAGTGGTAACAGAGCAAAGCATCTGAAAAAATAAATTAGATGGATGTTATGTAGTATGAATTGAGACATATGGTGTTGGAAAACCTACAAGAAAATACTTTTCCATTAAACCAGAAAAACCAAACTCACTGCCATTGAGTTGATTCTGACTCATAACAACCCCCTTTGAGTTTCTGAAGTGGTAAATCTTTACAGAAGTAGATTGCCCAGTCTTCCTTTCACAGAGTGGCTAGTGGGTTTGAACCATCAACCTTCTGGTTAGCAATCAAATGCCTTAGACACTATGCTACCAGAGCTACTTACTTTTCCTTTACCTACCAGCATTCGTTTTTATTACCACCTAGAATTTTAAAATGATTAATTTCTTTGAGTATCAAATTGAGATGTGCTTGGTCAAATTATTTTATAGTAGCAGGTTAAACATTTATTCTTTGAGTATTAGTTAGCAGCTACTTGAGAACTAATGGAGATTCTCTGGGAATGGGACATTGGTTATGGGTTCCACTTCACATTATTCAAAGATAAGTTACAAGAATGTCCCAGTCAGAATTTGCTTCACGTTTTGTGATAACTATCCTGGCAACTAATAAGCATTAGCTGCTAACTCTTGCAGATAGGTAGAGTGCTGGAGCATGTAGTGTTCTGGCATGAGAGAGCATTACAAATGTACTTGGTGATGTTTTTGTTTCTACCCTGTAGGAGTAAAATTTATTTAAACCTGGACTAGCAATATAGAACCTTTGGTGAATTTTTTGACAGGAGATTAAAAGAATGAATGTTAATTAAGCATAAAATAATACTTTGATATGTATCTTTAGTTTTTTAATTAGAATAAAAATATTGGTTGGATTGTTTCAAATAATAAAATAAGGGAAATTGCTATTAAGCTTTTAGTTCAAGAGAAATATTGATAAAGGATCTATATATTTAAGATAATGCATGGCTTCTCCAACATTAAAATTTGATTTCGAGTTATTTGTGCAATAAAACAAAACAAAACAAAACAAAAAACTCACTGCCATCAAGTCAAATACTTAGAGTAGCTTTGATGTATTCTACTATATATTGTAATTATTAAAGATAATAATGATATCAAACTTGGTTTTATTCAACAGACATAGTCTTGAAAAAGGCATGTCAAATCTTATTTTCCTACTGAGGTTCTTATTTTAAATATGTATTACTGCTTTTTTATTTCCTCTAATTTATTAAGAAAACCAGTAAATAGCATTAAATTTGTAAGATTAGTTGGCTTTTTAAAGGGATTTGAGGAAGTCTAGATAATGATAACATGAAGCAAGAATACATGCTTTTGTAAAGAAGACATTCTTCTTTTTTTTAACTCTGCTTAGTAATTTTACCTCTATGTAATTCAGGACATATGATATCTGTGAAGTATCTCCTGGACCCCACTTGAATATGATTGTTGGAGCTAATGGAACAGGAAAGTCCAGCATCGTATGTGCCATTTGCCTTGGATTAGCAGGCAAACCTGCTTTCATGGGACGAACAGATAAGGTAAGTTAACATAAGAACATTTTTTTTTTTTTTTTGTTAAATTCTAGATGATCAATTGCGTTTAATTAATCAATGCAAATCAATTTCTGCATCCTGTCCCTGGGCCGTAGCCAATGTTTAGTGCAAGAATATAATGAATGTGAGGTTAGAAGGTATAAAAACTGGGAGATTTTCACTTCTGAAAGTAATTTGGACTGTATACCTAGAGAATTCTCCAAAATGCTAAAAACAGTGTAAAATATATTGTTTGAAGTACATTGCTGGATTTGTGGAAAGGTGAAGGAAATTAACCAAGTTTAAAATCAAAATAGTGTGAATTTAAAGAGGTAAGCAGGCTCTGGCCTTGTTTTCCCAGGAAGATTTGCTAATACTTGGCTCATTAAAGTCTGACTTTAAATTGGTTATACAAGGTTTGGGGTATTGAAGGTAGGGAAGATAAAACCTAGCTGAAAAAACAATAGCAAAGAATGGAACAGTGAGGGTTACTTATCTCATTATATCTCTGAATGGAGTGGGGAGATAAAAGGAAGTCTTCCAAAGACTTCTTAACTAGAAGCTTTAATACATTTAGAGCTAGAGTTCATGTTACTTACGGCTAGAACTCATATTATGATTTAAACTAAAGTCTTGTTTTAAATTTTATTTATCTTGTTGTTGAGAATATACACAGCAAAACATATACCATTTCAATGGTTTCTAAAGTGTACGGTTTAGTAACACTGATTATATTCTTTGAGTTGTGCAACCATTCTCACTCTCCTTTTCTGAGTTGTACCTGCACTATTAATCAGTCCTAAAGGTCCTGTCTAATCTTTTTAGTTGCTGTTGTCAGTTTGATCCCATTTAGATAATTCTTAAACGAGCATAATGCTCAAAACAGATTTTTGTTTTTAAACTAATTAAGCTAACCTATTACTGTGTTTAAAGTATTCAGGAGATATTTTTGATTTAAGATTTAAAGATTATTTCAGGGTAGTATTTTTAGGAGTTCAACCAACCTTCATGGCTCTAGAGAATTTTGCATTTTCCCCTCCTTGATCAGGATTCTTGTATAGAGTCTTCGATCAAAATGTTCAATGATGGTAGCAGAGCACCATCCAGTTCTCTAATCTCATGGCAGATGTGGCACTTGTTCATAGAGATAATTAGCCACATATTCCATGTCCTCCTCCTGTACTTGACTCTCCTTTTTTCTCTGTTGTTCCAGGTGAATAAAGACCAATTGTTGTACCTTAGATGGCTGCTTGTAAGCTTATAAAACCTAAGGCACGATGCATCCCCTAGGAGGTAGAACAGAAGCATTAAACATGGTATTAGACCAATTAACTGGGATGTCCTGTGAAACTATGACCCTAAACCTCCAAACCAAGAAACCAAATCCCATGAGTTTCTTGGTTGTACATAGGCAGCCTCAGCAACTACTCCTTTTTTGTCTGTTTGTTTTGGTCAATATTGTACATATATGTATCACATCACTTTTGCAGTTCTACTTTTTACAAGTGTAAAAATTGCAGCAGTTACAGTAATTGGCTGTGTGACCATATCCTTAATTACATGAACAAAAATTTTAAATTGTTATTTTGGTTTTTAGTTTCAGTTAGTAATATTTACAGGCACCCGCAGAAGCAAATACAGGTCCTCTGAAGGAATATAACTTCAGTCCAGTTCTCAAAGGAACAACACAAAGTTCCAAGAAATTCATAAATTCATACGTAAACATTACAAAACGTGGGAGGAAGTAAATCACCAAAAATAGGAACTGACCAAAGCAACATACTACAGAATCAGATCTACAAAGCTTGTATATGCTAGACTCATCAGATAGAGAATATAAACTAAGTATAATTTGATAAAAGAAATGAAAGAAGGTTGCAAGTATAAAAAAAGGAATAAGTGACAAAAAGATTTGTCAGATTTGAAAAAGAATCTAAGAGAACTTAAAGAAATGAAAAACATATTACTTGAAAAAGAAACTTGGACAGGAAAAACAACAGAGCATACACATTTAAGGAGAAAATGTGTCAACTAAAAGATCTGAAAATGATTTTAAAATGTAATACAAGGAGAAAGAGAGAAAAAATACAAAATTGAGGTTAAGAGACATAAGGAATAAAGGAAAATAGCCCAGTGTGTATCTGATTATAATCTGAGATAATGGAGAGACTAAAGAAGAGGAAAAGTCAAATAAAGAGTGATTAGGAATTTTTCAATAATGTTGAAAAACATGAATCCTTGGTTTTAAAAAGACTATTATATCTCAGGCAGGAAAGAAGATACACATTACATATTATAGACATTATAGTGAATTACAGAACACCAAACACAGAAGATTTTTAAAGCTGCCAAAAAAACCTATAAAGGAACCAGAATTAGACCAAGAGCTGACTTTTGGAAGTCTTAAAAGAGTAGAATAGTATTCTCCTTATCAAAAAAAATAGTAGCTAGTCTGTAATTGTATATCCAATAGTAATATTTTTACAGAATAAGATAGGAGAAAAAAGTGAATAAAGCCCGAGATCGCCACTTAGGGAACTTTGGATGTCTATAATTTAGGATGAAGGAAAATGATCACAGCAGGAATCTCTGAGATGCAAAAAGTAATGTTGAACAAAAAATTGTCAATGTATAGTAAAGTATATGTAAAGTGTTTAAAATAATAATGTCTATAATTTGTGGAGTTTAAAATAAACAGTCTAGAACTAAAATATTGGACAATAGGAATGAACTGTTGAGAGTTAAAGCATCCCAAGGATTTGTATTACTGGGGAGAAGTTAAGATAATTGATCAACTTCAGTATTAAATATGCATTTTAAGAGATAGACAGCCCCCACCCAAAAGACAGGAAGGAGGGAAAGCCAGGGCCGAGGGCAGTAAGATCCAGATAAGGGGAGGGAGACAGACAGCCCCCACCCAAAAGTCAAGAAGGAATGGAAAGCCAGGGCTGATGGCAGGATCTAGGGAAGGGAAGGGAGACAGACAGCCCCCACCCAAAGGCAGAAAGGTGGGAAAGCCAGGGCCAATGGCAGGATCCAGGTAAGGGGAAGGCAGAGAGGTTTCAAACAGCTAAGGGAGATGAATTTGTCTGTCAGTTTGTTTTACTGTGGTGGCTTAGATGTTTCAGTGAGGCTGGAGGCTGTAGCAGCGGTGTTTTCAAATACCAGCAGGGTTGTACATGGTGCATAGGTGTTAACACAGCTTACAGACTGAGACAGACTCAGAAGAAAGAAGAGACCATCATCCACTTCTCAAAGAATTGGTCAGGGAAAACCTTATGAATAGCAGAGAAACACTGTCTGATACATTACTGGACAACTTAATGAAGCACCTGGAAACATTGTCCAATATGGTGCCAGAAGACGAGACTTTGAGGTTGCAAGGCACTCAAAATACAACTGGGAAAGAGAGCCAACCTTTATGATAAGGATAAAGTAAAGCTTTTGGGACCTCCATTTGCTGATGGTGGCAGACTCAAATTGAGGAGAAACAGCTGCAAACATCCATTAATAATCAGAATATGGAACATACGAAGTAGGAATCTAGGAAAATTGGAAGTTGTCAAAAATGAAATGAAAAGCGTAAAGATCGATATCCTAGGCATTAGTGAGCTGAAATGGACTGGTTTTGGCCATTTTGAATCACACAACCATATGACCTGCTATGCCGGGAATGACACATTGAAGAAGAATGGCGTGGCATTCATCACAAAGGATGTTTCAAGATCTGTCCTGAAGTACAATGCTGTCGGTGATAGGATAATATCTGTATGCCTACATGGAAGACCAGTTAATACTATTATTCAAATTTAGACTCCAACCACCAAAGCCAAAGATGAGAAAGTTGAAGATTTTTATCAACTTCTGCAGGCTGAAATTGACTGAGAATGTAATAGAGATGTGTTAGTTATCACTGGTGACTGGAATGCAAAAGTTGGAAACAAAGAAGAGTCACTGATAGTTGGAAAATTTGGCCTTGGTGACAGAAATAAGTTTGGAGATCGCATGATAGAATTTTGCAAGATCAATGGCTTACTCATTGCAAATACCTTTTCATCAACACAAATGGCGGCTATACATGTGGACTTCATCAGATGGAATACCCAGGAATCATATTGACTACATCTGTGACAAGAGGCTATGGAAAAGCTCGGTATCTTCAGCCAAAACAAGGCCAGGAGCTGATTGTGGAACGAACAGACCATCAACTGCTCATATATGCAAGTTCAACTTGAAATTGAAGGCAATTATAAGAAGTCCACAAGAGCCAAAATATGACCTTGATGATATCCCTCCTGAATTTAGAGACCATCTGAAAAATAGATTGGATGCATTGAATACCAGTGACCAAAAACCAGAGGAATTGTGGGATGACATCAAGAACATAGTCCATGAAAAAAGCAAAAGGTCATTAAAAAGACAGGAAAGGAAGAAAAGACCAAAATGGATGTCAGAAGAGACTCTGAAAATTGCCCTTGAATGGAGAGTAGCCAAAACAAATGGAAGAAATGACAAGATAAAAGAGCCAAACAGAAGATTTAAAAGAGCAGCTCAAAAAGACAAAAAGTCAATTATTATAATGAAATGTGCAAAGACCTGGAGTTAGAAAACCAAAAGGGAACACCCTCAGCATTTATCAAGTTGAAAGTACTGAAGAAAAAATTCAGGCTTTGAGTTGTAGTATTGAAAGATTCTATGGGCAAAATACTGAATGATGCAGGAAACATCAAGAGAAGATAAAGGGAATGCACAGAGTCACTGTACCAAAAAGAATTGGTCGATGTTCATCCATTTCAGAGGTGACATGTGATCAAGAACCAATGGTATTGAAGGAGGAAGTTGAAGCATTGAAGGAAGTGGCAAAAAACACGGCTTCAGGAATTGACAGAATACCCATTGAGATGTTTCAACAAACGGATGCCACACTGGACGCACTCACTAAAGTGTACCAAGAGATTTTGAAGACAGTTTCCTGGCCAACTAACTAGAAAAGATCCATATTTGTA